CCTCCAAAGCCACAGAGAAACTCTGCCTCAAAAAAAATAAAAAAATAAAAATTAAACTTCCCCAGTGTGCTGGGTCTAGAGAGATCTAGAGAGATGCCTCAGTGGTTACAGCACGCACAGCTCTTGACCACCAGGCTAAGTTCCAACACCTACATGATGTCACTCACAGTCACCTATACAGATCTACATTCAGGCATACAAATAATAAAACAGAAAAGACACCCCAGTGTTCTGTCCTTCCAGGCTACTGTATTTTCCTTTATAGGGCACCAGGACAAGACATTTGATGTGGGAGACGAAGCTCCCCTGAGCAGGTCTCAGTGGTACTGGACAGGCAGCCGGGAACTATCAGCACAGAGGGAAGGGCAAACATGGCCACTAGCCCTCTACAGATGCCTTTCTGCCTTCTCTCCACACAGCATCGAGGGGTGCTGAGGCCTGTTCTCTCGGCCATAGCAACTGGAGAACAGTCTAGTGGTTTCCACTGCCCTCTTCCCTACTAAGACAGGCAAGTTTCTAACTGTGCTAGATTGGAATCCACATCCCACATTTAACCAGCTGTATGCCTAGAGCCGAGGTGGAATTCTGCTGGTACAGTGCTTGCCTGCTTACATGCCTCTCGGCAAGCTAATTAATCTCTAATAATCTTGACTTTCTTATCTGTAAAATAGATAATAATGATAGGAATGGTGTCAGGGAGTTCAGAGGTTAGCACAGGGAATTCTCCAAGTGTCAGCAAAATCACTGTCATCACTGTCTCCTCTTTTAGAGGAGACAAAGGGCCAGGCAGAGGAGCCTTTAATCCCAGCACTTGGGACTCAGGGGCAGGCAGATTTCTGGGTTAAAGGCCAGCCAGGACTACAAAGTAAGTTCCAAGACAGGCAGGACTGTGACACAGAGAAACCCTGTCTGAATGAATGAATGAATGAATGAATGAATGAATGAATGAGGAGGCAAAAGGTGACGGGACTGCTAAACAATTAGAAGCTCCCGCAGAAGATGAATTTGGTTCCCAGCACCCCATCTGAAGTCTCACATCCGTGACTCCAGGTGCAGGAAGATCTGTCTCTTGTCTCTGAAGGCAACTGCATGGAGAAATCAGTGTCCTCTTCCTCCCTCCCCCCATCTCCCCCACGTCCCACTCAGTCCCTCTCTCCTGCTGTCTTCCAGGGTGCACCACTTTCCCAGAAGCTAATGCTTACACCCTTGCCATTCATCCTAAAGCCATGACACCGCAGGGGAGAGATCACAGGGTTAGAGAGAAGGAGGAAGAGCTGAAACTCCTAAACCTTAAGACAGCTCTCCTGATGCCAGTGCTACTGACAAAGTCCCAAGAGTGGTGCTATTTTCCAAGTCCCTATCCCTCAAACCCAGCTCCCAGTACCCTTTTGAGGCAACAACACAGAATAACTTTTTTCTAATGTCTTAATTAAGACCTCACTCCATGATGCATCCCTTCTTATTCTGAATGTCTTATGCATGCCTCGACAACAGTACATCACACAGTAACTATACTGTACATTAAGATAATTTTATGTGTATGAGTAGTTCATCTGCATATATGGATGTATACCACATGTATGTCTGGTGCCTGCAGAAGTCAGGAGAGGGTACCAGATCCCCTGGTGGCTAGTGGCTGCTGGGAATTGAACCTGGGTCCTCTCTAAGAACAAGTGCTTTTAACTGCTGAGCCATCTCTCCAGCCCCTATATTGTACATTTTAGGTTCCTATCTCTATCTTCCAACTCAACCCCCAAATTTATGGAGCGAACCATTTGAGGCTGGGTTTGGGAGGCATTGCTGAGGGAACATTACTGTATACCAGTTAATCAGCTCCAAAAACACCAGAATACATCATGAACCCATTCATACAAAACACCACTTTACAGAAAACGAGAGCTCAATGGTAGCAGGATATTTATACAGATGCTATGATCAATCTATGGCAATTGTTGAACAATGAAATGTAATAAAAGGAGCTTTGGAATCAGGGGTCTTGAGTTTGAATTCTAACCATGTGACTTCTAAACCAGGTCACTTTTGCCACATTATTTGACCTAAATCTGTTTCCTCACCTATAAAATACACAAAATGGTTCCTACTTTATTGCATTATTTTACCAAATGAGACAATGGCTGCACCAAGCCTGGCAAAGTACAGGCTTCTAGGGCTGTTCATAACTGTCAATCCTTTTCCACTTACAGAACTCTGCTGGTCTGTAATCCCAACACTTGGGAAGCTGAGGCAGGAGGATTACAAACCTAAGGTCAGCCTGGAACATATAGCCATATCTTGTCTTAAAAATAAATAAAAATCCAGGCTGGGTGGTGGTGTCACGCCTTTAATCCCACCACTTGGAAGGCAGAGGCAGGCAGATCTATTCCAGCAAGGCCAGCCTGGTCTACAGAGCGAGTACCAGGACAGGTTTCAAAAGCTACACAGAGAAACCCTGTCTCGAAAAAATAGATAGATAGATAGATAGATAGATAGATAGATAGATAGATATCCAAGGTCATATATGCTGCATTTGGGAAGAATGCTTAACTCTTCTAGAATCTTGACCACACCCTGAGTCCCAGGCAGCCATCTCTCAGAAGTAGGTCAGGAAGATTCAAAAGAGAGAAAAGGGGGAGAAAAGGTACAAATCATTTCAAAGCAGTTTCATCACCACTGCTGAAAAGCAGTTTAAAACGCCTGCCCTACTTACAGTATTGCCTCGGTACATGAAAACAACATGTGAGTAGCTCTAGCATGAAGATCATGTAAACAATGGTGCTGTGGAATGTACGTAATCGAAAAGAGGCTGAACTTAGGCTCGGCTCGACACTGTAAAGCACTACATAGGTAACACAGCAAGGCGGCGGCTGACAGCCCTTTCAAATGTGCAGAAAGAATACAGGAAGGCACGGTGACCATGAGAGGGGCCTCCTCTGGTTAAACCAGTCTTTATTCTTCTAGCTGCATTCACAAATGTTTTTGTTAAAATATGAAACTCTGACTTAACTTACAAAGAGGAGGTCTCTGGCAAGTCTTAAATGTATCCTTCAACAGTCAGTAACACACGTGTTATTTTTTAACCAAATCAACATCACCTGCAGTATCTATGATACAAGTTTCTACTAAAAGAGTAACAATACAAAGGCAAAAAAAGCCTTTGGAAACATATTTGTTGAGAACCCAGTATTAAAGGAAGTGGACTAAAGCTAGGCAAGTCAGGATACAACATGATCCCAGCACCCAGAGCAGAGGCAGGAGGTCAGGGATACACAATGAGACTCAAAAAAGGAAAAGAAAAAAATTAGGAGATTTTCTTCCAGCTTCTAATGAGAAAAAAAAAAAAATGACCAGTTATTGTTCTGCCTTTGTGGTCAGGTCAACTAATTTGTTGACAATAACTTTATACTAATCCTGCACTGGTAAATTTAACTTTTCATATATGTTTTAGTGTTCTGTTGACCTTGAAAAAATTTCTTTTGTTTCTTCCACAAAGGTTGTATGTGTTCCTTTTACGGTCACTAAAAGAGTTACACCATCTCAAGAACTGAGCAAATATGAGAAGACACCTCTGGATTACACAGTATCTTTGGCCAGTCTGTATACTTCATCGATTTGAAAAATTAATGAAAAAGCTGTAAAGGCCTCTAAACCACAAACTATTTAGAGATCATAAGAAAAAAAAATGACTTTCTGGAAGTAAAGGACTACTGAAAACCACAGATTGTGTCTCTCTAGAATTAAAAAAAAATGGGGGGGGGGGAGATACGCTTAAAAACTACAAAAAAACAAATGTTTCCAAGGCAGTATTTCTGAAACTGCTCAGGACTTTTCTGATTTAAGATTACACTCCTGCTGTAGTTGAGGAAGACCAAGTCAGTTGACACAAAATGACTTAACAACTAAAGTATCACAATCCACAAAATTGTTTCTTTTCTTACCCTGACCCTTCACTCACCCATGTGCATGCTCCATCCCTGGAGAATTTTAGTGACTAAATAAACATGAGAAGACCATGTCCAAAAGTGGAGCAGGAACCTCTTCCAACCAACCTGATGACAGACGACTACTTTCATAATATTGCAGGGGAAGTTTACATGAAGCAGTGGAAGAAACTAAGCCAGCAGGGATTTTGAAAAGAAGGCCTCAATTTGTAAAAAGACAGGGAAAAAGTCAACCAAGTCACAGGAAATTCCTTGTGCCCTAACTGCCACTGCTTTTCTGACAATCCGACATGCCACAACCCAAGTTTAAGGGGGAGGGGAAGTAAATAAATAAATAAATAAATAAAAGAAAAATAAAGTAGAAGACCAGCAGTCATTAGGAGTCTGTTAAAATTATTACACTTTATGTGGAATCTTTAAAAATATTAAGGATATACACTTTGTTAAATATCAAGGAATCTGTAAATACCTCTCAAACACAAAGGTACCTTTGATCCAACTTATACAATGAAATGGCCACATGTATCTGGGATTTCCAGCACTTCCTTTTAAAACTGCCACTAAACATTATTTTACCCAAAACTGTTCTTTAAATCCCCGAAGACAGAGGCAAACACAATACACCATATCCCAGTCTTGCCCCTCTTTCTTGAATACCCTTTTAAAAAGACTGAACACCTTCAAGAGGCTCTCCTTGTCTTCAGACACTAAAAGACAGCAAGTGCAGTTCCGAGTGAAGAAGCAAGGAAAGAGAATAAAGAGAATAAAAACGAGAGACCCTCTCCTGGGTCTTGCATTCTCTACCTCTGGAGAATACTAAACAGACTGAGGACACCGTGGCCCAAAGTGGAGCAAGGGCTCCTTACAATACAACCAACCTGATGGCGATGAATGACTACCTCCACAAAATTTCATCATCCTTGAAAAATGCCACCTCCGCTGCCTCCCCAGTCCCGAAAGCCCGACACCACTAGCGCAAAAATCGTCCCCGACCGACGCGCCAAAGAGTTGCCAAGTAATCCTTTCAAGGTGCCCCCCGCCCCCACGCCCCAGGCTCCTCACCTCGTCAGCGCTCAGCTCCTCCATCGCTCTCCTCTTAATGGTGAAAGGCGTTAGGGAC